TTTAAGTTCATTTTGATTCAAATATTAATAAATTATTTTTAATTTATTTAAATTTTAATGCAAGATGAATTATTTCTGATTTACTTTAAATATTATATTAATTAAATATAATACTTATTGAATCTATTTTTAATATATATAGAAATATTTATATAATTAAGCTTAATTTTTTTATTTTTAAAAAATAATTTCAACTTTAACTTTATTTTTTACAATCAAATTTTTATCTTTTTTAAAATTTTTCTCTTTATATTAAATTATTAAAATACTACTAAAATGCTAAAAAAAAATGTCTTAAAATTAAATTAAATTTTATCAATTAATTAGTTAAATTTTTAAATAATAACTGATTTTTACTTTTCTATAATAAAAACTTAACTTGTAAAACATAACTAATATTATGAATGGTTAAATGTAATGCAGCTTATATAGTACAGAAAATCAACTAATTTGACATAAGTGATATATATGATATATCAGACATATGTGGTATTACTGACATATTAGATATAGTTGACATATTAGACATAGTTGATATATTCGATATAGTTGATATATTAGACATAGTTGATATAGTAAATATATTAGTTATATCCCTCTATGTAATTTATTTTATATAAATAGATAGCTTTTTAGTTCATGTAAAAAGAAGAGACAGATAGGAACTCGATAAGTTAGCTTTAGTAGTTTTACAGGTAACTAGCCTACCACATTACATTTTAGCTCTAGTATTCCATTTTTTTTCTTTTTTTATTTTATTTTCTTATTTCCTTTTATTTATTTTCTTTTATTTTATTATTTACTTGTGAATAAACACATTATTTTACAATTATAAATCATTGACAATCTGTTGAATTACTGCTTGTCGTAATAGTATAAACACTTTTGATAATTAGTTTAAAATAAAACTCATTAACCGTTAAAAGATTACTGCTCAATTAAAAAAATAAACCGCTTGAACATCTTGTCTAACAGTTGTAGTTCGCAAGAATTACATGTTTTTAATATTAAATATATACTATAGATGAGAGACGAAACCCTTTAATAATAGTCAAAACTTAGACAAAACTATATTAAAATTATAATAAGGAATACGATAAAACTCATTCAATATGACGAAAGCTAAAACTATTGAAACTATATTAAAAATATAAAAAAGGTATGACAAAATTATTTTGAGAAGGTTTTGGCAGGCATCTATAATATATACAAAAAAAATAGCTAATAAATAAGAAAAATGTAAGTTAAATTTTATCAATTAACCAGTTAATTTTTAAAATAAACTGATTTTTTACTTTCAATAAAGAATCTCAACTATAACTAATATCACAAAAATGTCTCTAAAAATCAAAATTAAAAATGATTCCTATAATTATTTTCAAATTTTAATTTAATTATACTATTTTTTAATTGTGATGCTTATTTTTAATCAAAATCAATTGAAAAAGAGCTAAAACATAAATTAAATTTTATTAATCAATTAGTTATTTAATAAATGATAAATTGATTTTTTATAATAAAAAAATACAAAAATATACCTAAATAAAATTATTTAAAGAAGAATTAAATGTAGAAATAACTATTAATAAAATTTAAAAATGATATAAAGAATTTCAGTTCTTATCAAAATTTAGATGAAAATTAATAATAAATACTTCAATTATAACTATAGTTAAAATTTTTAATGATTTTAATGATTTAAAATCAGTTATATTATTTTTAATTTATTTTTATTTAATATTTTATAATAATTAGTAATGTATTTTCTTTATTTCTAAATAAAGAATTAAAAGTTAAAGAAAAGTTTGATGAAATTTAAGAGAACTAAATATTTAGAATAATAAAATTCTAATTTTTAAAAAAGAATAAATACTAAAAAGGAAAACTAATTTTTTATTAAAATTAATAAAGAATTTGATAAGAAAAATAATGATTTATAAAAAAAGTAAAAATACTTATACTAATATTTTAATATTTACAATAATTAATTTTCTTTTTAATATTTAAAACTTAACTGATTTAAGAGAATATAGCTATTAAAATTATTAAGACAATTAGATGATGACCTTTCTGCAAATAAAAAAAATTATTATTAAAATTAAAAAGAAAAAAACTATTTTGTTATATTAATAATAAATTGATATTATCATAAATCAATTTTTAAAATAATAATAATTTGATAATTGAAGAAACTAATACAAAAAAGTTAACGTATATTTGAATTTATATTTAAATATTTTAAATTTTTGCTAATTTTTATTTTATTTTCTATATTTAAGCCAAAATAAAAAATTAGTTAAAATCTTTTCATAAATTATATTAATCAGTTTAAAAATAATAAAAAATAAAAAATGTCATTTAGAGCAGTAGCAAATATATAATAATAATTAGATATATAATATAAGAAAATAGAATAAATTTTGAATTTAAGCTATTTAAATTAATAATTTAATATTGTTTATTATTTACTACAAAAAAAATTTAATGAGTAAAGGTTGCAAAACAATTGTTTAATAAAAATAATAAATAAATTATAAAATATAATTAGTAATACTTATTTTGAATACTCAGTTATTATTAATATTATTTGCTTAAAATTAGTAAAATAAATGAAAAAATTCATAAAAAATTTATTATTACTTTATATAATTATTTATGATAATTAGCTGAAAATTTATTAAATTTCTTTATCTAATTTAATCTTTTTAAATTTATTTAATATATTTTATATTAACATTCTTTTTTATTTTCTTTTTTAGCTAAATATCTTTATAATTTATATTTAATTTTAACGTTATATTATCATTATAAATATAATAAAAATAAAAATACAATGATAATTTGCAGTGTTATAGCTAACTGTATTTTGTTTATACTCTAAAATAATCATATAAAATTAAATTTGATATAATTTATAATACCAAAATTGAAGTAAGTATTACTATAGAAGAATAGATAATAGAAAATAAAAATTTACAGAAATTAAAAGGATATCATCTGCTACTGAAAATTATAAAGATTATATAATAGATGATATTAAATAATCTGAAAATGACAAATTTTAGATAATTTAAAATAAGATAAAATTAATTTATTTTTATTTTTTATTATTTATTTATTATCTTTATATTTTTTATATAGTTTTAAGATTAATTAATCTATTTTTATTATATTATTTATTATCTTTACATTTTTTAAATAATATTATAGATTAATTTTTTTATTTTTAGGAAAATATATCGTATTTTTTATTATTTTATTTATTATTTTTTTAAATTTTTTGAATGATTTGAAAGTTAATTTTTATTTTATAATAATGAATATTTAGAATAATTTAAAGGAATTTAGGAGAAAAGTTAATCATATAGTCAACTCTTGATATAGCGAACTCTTGATATAATGAATTTTTTGAACATATATAATAAAAATACTTTTGTTATAGTGAATTGATTAACTAAATCTCTTAAAATCTTCATTATTGCTTTATAATGAAATTAAGGTCTAGGACATAGAGTTCGTTATAACAAGAGTTGACTGTATTTTTATTATTTTATTTATTATTTTTAATTATTTAGATAGTAGTAATATTATGATAATAAATATTTATGATGTTTTTAATAGGATTTGAAAGGAAAAAAAATCATATTTTTAATATTTTTTTTAATATTTTAATATTTTTTTACATAATTTTTTCATTTTATTTTTTTACTTTTATTTTTTAATAGTAATATTTTTGTAATTTATTTGCTATATTTTCATGAATTTTATATTAAGTTTTTATTATTAATAAAATTTTAATACTTAATAAATTTAATAAATAAAAATATACTGATTTTATATATTTATTTAACTGAATTGATATTAAATTAAAGCTAATTTTAGGCTAATTTATGATTATTAAATTCTGAATTGATAATAAATTATTTGTTTAATTAGAATTAATTATTAGTATATTAGGTTAATTTATAATCAAATTTAAGTTCTAAATTGATTTTAAATTGTTTTATCTAATCAGAGTTGATTAGAGATAATTTAAATGATTAGAAACATATCCATAAATGATATCAAAATTGGCTTAATTTCAAATATGTGATTTTTAGCTATTTTAATTATTTTAACTAATATTTAAAAAAGATGTATTTAGAAAGTGTTGATTGTATTTTTTAATGTATATATATATATTAGATATGATTTAATCTAGTTATGAAGAAAAAAACTAAAATATAAAGAAATATTTTTTTATTTTTTTCATTTATATTTAAAAAAAAAAGATATTAAAATGATTACATTTATTAGAGCCTGTTTGACTTGCTAAAAAGTTGGCTTGATTTCAGTTAATTGAATTTGTATATTTATTATGAAAGTAAATCTGCTATGCACTTTTCTATAAAACATAAAATTTTAATAAATTTTTTAATCAGATTGTAAATGAAAGAATTTTGCTAATTATATATAATTATAAATCTCATTTACAAATAAGCTAAAATTTGTCAAAATTTGAGGGTATATACTAATGAAGTCATATTACTTTCCATAGCCTTTTCAATCATTACTAATCCAAATCAGACCACCTTTCATTATGTTTGAAATCCGCTAATCTAAGAATCATTACAGTCAAATCTCTTTAAATGCATATCTTTTATCTTTATTTTAATTTTTTTAATTTCTAATAATTAAGAAGATTCTCTACTTAAGGTTGTAATTTTTCAAATAAATGCAAAGTTAATAAGCTAGAAGCATTTAGGATTAACACATTTGCTTAATCAATATTCTATTAAAATTCTTATCGAATAATGTTTTAATTGTTCAATAATATTATAACAGCGAAATGCGGTATTAATATTTTTATCATGAATAGTATAATACTCAATAAAATTTGATAAAGTACTGTAAAATGTATAAAAGATAATTTATTGAATCGTGTAACTGTTCTTATTTTGGACGGTATCATCGTATAATTTCCAGCTTCTGGCTTTCCTCAAACCAGACATTCTGTAAGTATGAATTCTTATCCATACTTTACACTTCAACAAAAACTTGAAAATATTGATAGTTCTTTGAAAGAAACCATTCAGCATTATATTCGACTCAGTAAGTTATTAACCGTTCTTTGGACTTTCATAGAATCTTAACTATCTTTAATCTTCCAAACTTTTGAATTAGTCATTGACTCGCACTCAACTCAAAACAATGATATTATCAAGTATGATTTGTTATAATTTCAAATTTCCAAATGATAAATGAATAGAACCAACTTCTGATATCATTATTAGGTCTAACACGTCATACGCGTTACAACTTCGTGAATCTGAAATAAAAACCAGGCAACTTCAGGCTGAATATATAGAACTAAGAGTGACGGTTGCGCAATTAAGAGCAAAAATTGAAAAATTGAAACACAAAAAAGCAAGCACGAATGATAACTTCAAAGAAAGTGTTAAAGTAAAGTCAACTTCTATATAATAATCATATATATAATAGATTAGATACCTACGAAAGAAAAATTTATATATTTCTCTACAAAATAAGTTGGATATATATTACGTTTGTTGCCATTTTTAGTCTGCAAGCGATAAAATTATCGCTTTGGTCCAACAATTACAAGGTGCTGCAGATTCTTTAAGCACCATTGTGGATCCCGAATCAACTCGAGGATCCAGTTTCATTTCTGATGGTAAATAAGTTTGTTTTTTGATATGAGTATTGTTCTTTCTGAGTTATAAAATTAACCTTATTCTTACTCCATCACGTTAAAATATTAGTTTCATCAATATTAGGTTCTTCAATTGATCTGACAAATGGAGGTCTGGGTGTCGCAAGCGGAAGCCAGTACTCCGAATTGATGAGCAACATGGACATTACTTTGGACATTCTTCCGCATAAGAAAAAGCCGGTTAATTTGGTAATGAAATTTTGTACCATATTTAAAATATCTTTTATTAATTATTTGATTATTATCAATAGTTGGCCGTTTATCGAAAGAAACCGAAAGCTTTAGTTTCGATCAACGAATTTAACGAAGAGCAAAAATATCAAAGAACTTCAGCTTTTGCATCAAGTTCACATAAACCGTAAATTTTAAGCAAATATTTATATACGATGATTTTTGTTAATATTATTAATTTATTCTTTTGATATTGACAAAGTGAACTGGTTGAAGAAGAACCTTTGCAATTAGAAATTGCAGATACCGATCATAAATTCCAGAGGGTTCAAGCAAAGATTCCCCAAAAATTAAAACTCACCACATTTGCAAAAACAGAATCGACTTCCAAGCAAAAACTCGATGAGACTAACTATGCATCACAACGAGACCAAGTTCCTCAATATCGCGTTGAAAATTTATCGATGGATATTGTTATTGACCAGGTGGAACAAGAAAGTAAATATTCAGAGCGTACACGTGGGGATGTCGTTGACGGAACAACTTCGTCCGCGTTTCAACAACAAGCACCTATCATAGCTTCGTCCTTGATGACTACGAATAACGAACATTCTCTTGTGCCAATGACCGTAGCTATTACACCTTTTCAAAAAGAATCATATGAGCCTGACAACTCTCAAAAAGCTGAAGAGAGTTTACAAAATATAGGAGTATCAGAAAAATACAAAAAAAAGCGTATAAGAGGTATGAGAATAAAAAAAAGGAATTATAGATCTCTGTATACTTTAACAAATTTTCAATTATCCAAGTAGAACCTGAATGGATGTTCGAGATGAATGAGGGAGAATCTCGGGGACGAAAGAGATTTCAAGTAAATTACGCAGAGCCAAACCTTCGCAGGTTTGTGTGTTTAATATTTTTATTTTACTCAATTATCATACTATAATGTTAAATTTCTGTTTGAAGCAAATTACGTAGGGGAGATCCACATACCTACACCTTAGAGACAGATTCTCGAAAATAGAGTCTTGTGAGTAATAATACATTACTGCATTTTCCTTTTTTTTAGTAATCCGTTAGATAAGAACAAAAATTTTATTAATCTAATTTAACTAGTTAATTTTAATTCTCGATCAGAAATAGTATATTGTTTAAATTGCATAACTATATCATTTTTCTGATTGTTATTAATTTGAAAATATTTTTTTTTAAAATAATTTACTACAATAAAAAAAAAAAAAAATTATTGCAAAAGTGCCATCGTTTTTAATATGAAATTGCAATTTTTTTTTTTTTTTTTAATTTAATAATAAATTTATTAATTTAAAATGTAATTTATAATTCATAAGCAAAAATGTCTAAACCTTTAATTTCTTAATAAGGTTTTGATATAATTTCGCTATTTTATAAGTTTACCTTTTATCAATTTTATTAAGATTTTAATATAATCTTTTCAAAGTTTTACCAGCTACTTTATATTTGCTTTAAACATGCTTTTAACATTATAAATATTTAAAAAAATTTTACTTAATTTAAAAAATAAAAACATTGTTATTTTAAAATTAAAAGAAAAGAAGAAACTATCAGTTAATTAATTAATAAAAATAAAAAATAAATTATCTTTTATATGAATATTTTATTATGTTTTTAATTCATTTAATAATATATTTAAATTTTTTAAATAAATTTATAGTATTAAAAATTAAATAAAACATTTATATTACTTCAATTGTTAAGCTTATTTTAATTAAATTAGTTTGAATAAATTATTAAATCATTTATTTAATTTATAATTAAAAATATTTTGAATAATTAAAATTTTTTAATTAATATAATAATTTAAATTTGTTTCAAATTATTTATTAAATTTATTTTATTTAATATTTTGATTTATTATAATTTATTAGTAATTTAAAATTATATATTTTACCTATAATTCACATAAAGTCTGAAATTTTAAATGCAAAATATTATGTAATTTTAACAATTTTAATAAGTTTAAAATAGTTACAATATGCATTTTATTAAGTTTATTTAATTTTATTAATATATATATATCAGAATGCAAGAAAGATAAATTAGTAGATAAAATTTAAAGATTTTGCAAATTAATTAAATAGTAAAGATAAAATTTAACAAAATTATATTACACTTTATTAAAAATTTGTAAAATTTAGAAAAAGATAAAACTATATCAAAATTTATAAAAATAGTGTAATTATATTAAAAACTTTAATAAAAAATAAAGATTTAGATACTTTATTAAATTAAAAATAAAATAATACAACAGTAAGATTTATATTTTTGATTATATATTCTACTAATTTACCTATAATTTTATTTTTATATACAATTATCTCCTTCTATAGTTACTTTTTATACAATTACATTATATAAATCCCTCATTATAAGTACATATTTTATAAGAACTAATACCTATTAATACTATATAAAAAAACCCTTTATAATTATAGTGTTTTTATAGTCATATTCTTTCAGAACTAATACTTAGTAACAATATATAAAAATCCCTCCTATATAGTAACTTTTTATTATAATCACACTTTTTATTTTTAGTTCTAAAAGGTGTGATTATAAAGAAGATAACTATAAATATAATTTAATCAATTAACTGAATGAAATAGTTAAAATTTTAGTTATAACTCAATTACTTGTTTAAATTTATTTTGAATTTAACAAAATATTTAAATTTTAGTTTTGTTAATTTGTACTAAAGTTTTGATATAATTTCATATTTTTATAAATTTGATATAGTTTTATCTTTTTTTGAATTTTACAAATTTTTTTAATAAAATTTTAATATAGTTTTACTAAATTTTAACTTTTACTATTTAAATAAAAAATTTAATATAATTTTTATAATATTATATATTTATAAATTTTTAATATAATTATTAGATTATAATTAAAGAAATTTTTTTTTAATAAAGATTATAAAATTATATAATATTTTATATTTTTATATTATTTCACTATTTATTAATTTAATAAAATTTTATTTATATAAAAATTCTTAATAAAATAATTTAATAATAATATATTTATTAAATTTTATTAATGTTTAAGAATTATTAATAAGTAAAAAATATATGTATTATTAAAATTTAAATAATATATTTGTTATTTTCAGTATAATTTTTAAATATTATATTAAAAATATCAATTTTTATAAATTTCATTATAATTGTAAATAATATTAAAATTATATATTGTATATCAATATTATTAAATAAAATAACTTTTAACCTAAAGATTAGATTTTGATAAAAATGTTATCATTAGAACTGTTTTTAATAAGAATTTTTTAATAATATAAGTTTAATCTAATTAAATTAATAGTTAATAATAAGATATTTTGAAAAGAGTAATTAAAGATAATTTTATAGATTATTATTAATTCGTAATTCATAAACAAAGTAGAGAAAACTACTAACTAAATTTAGGGCATTGATCATATGATTATGTAATAAATTAGTCATAATTCATCTTTTTTAAATTAAGCTAAAACTATCAATTTGTATAATACAAGTATCATATTAAATATGCTAATAATAGAATACCATGTGCATTATTTTTTTGTATTTTCATATTTTTTTTTTAAATATAACTTTAGATTTTTATTTGATATAACGTGATTTCTACCTATAAATATGACGAGCAAATTTGTAATTTCAATATTTCTAACTTGTATTTTACAAAAATATTGCATTTTTACATTTATTTATCAAATTTTTAGAGTTTCTAATATGCTATTAACCTGCACTAAAGCTTGTTAAGCCTGTACTTTATGATAGGCTTATGTATATCAGATTATCCAATTACCAATTGTAAAAACTTTTGGAATTTCCTCTACTTTTAAAATTCCTTCTTCTACTAGCTTTTTTAGTTCATTATACATTTCTTAAACTATATATTTTTTACTTTTATCAACATCTCCAGAAATATGCTTCAAAATATAGAATCACATGCTTGCTTAATTGTTTTTCCTTTCTTTTTTACCAAATTTCTGTCTTTCTTTCAAAGTTCATCTACTTGATAATAAAAATCCAAAGTACAAATAAAACTTATTTTAAATCTAAATTAGTACTGGTAGTTTTGGTATTTGATATATCTTGGTTTAAAAGCTAAGTTTTAAGTAAATATAATTTACAATTTTATAAGCCTACATTTATATTATTCTAACATTTCATTATCTAATCTATTTTATAAAATCCCTGCTAATATAACTCTATTATTTACATCCGTATATTAATATTATATTCTTTCAATTTTTGTTTTAATTCTTCAATAGTGAGATGACTTAGGTTGACTCCTATCTCAAAAAATTCAAGTATAAAAGATTATTACAGTCAATTTTAAACCAATATTTATTTACATACTTAATTTATGAAGTATTAGCATACTCTAATCAAAAGTTAAAGTTAAATAATCTAAAACATGAGGATTAGGTTTTTCAAAAGACTGTTTTTCAAATTTTATTATGTTTGCTAGCTTAAAATTATTCTATTTTCCAATATTAGGAACAGCACAAGCCTAGATAAATCTTGCATATTCATCTTCTATTGGTCAGGACTATTTATTCCAGTTGGAATTTTCAGATATTGAATTTTTCTTTTATTCTAATTCTAAGTTATAACAAATTTTTTATATTACATCATATTAAATTTAATTTTTATATATAAAAAACATACCTTTCTTTCTTTCAGGTTTCAGGCATACTACTAAAGTATCACAAATTTTTTAATAACATTCTTTATATTGATATCTTCACATTAATATTAAATTCCAATTGAATATAGCGATTTATTATATATCAGATTTAATTTAAAAATTGGTAAATATAAATAGTAATAATTTTTCTGAATTATTTGAAAAATTAATACATGCTTGAGTATGATGAGAATCTATTGAAGCTTTTGCTTTACTCACCTTTAAGAAAATCTATTTTCTCACAGTAATATCATACCATTTGTTCTAATATTCTAAAATTAACATTAGATCTGCATTATGATAATATGGACCATTATCAAAAAGAAAGGTAATTCATTCTGGTTTGATTTTAAGTGATTCAATTACTGCATGTAATGATAAAGTAGTAAATCATACATTCTGATATAAATCAGTTAACCAGTGATTGTATGCTTTAAATATCTAATTTATAGTTATATATATAAGAGTTGAGTGTAAAGTCCAATTTTTTTTTCTGAAAAATGCATTTTTTGTTTCTTTTATACTTTTAGGTAAGATCTTCATCTTATAATCCACTATTATTATAGTTTTCTTTTCATTCAAATTTACATTAAATTGGGCATTTAAATATACTTTACATGTTTGATGACTCAAATAATAGAAAATTTGATCTTGAAATTCATGAATCTTCTTATGAATATCATTTGAAGTATTTTTTTTAATATCAATAAAAAATTGAAATAATTCATTACAATCTAAATATATATAAGTATATTATTCATTATATGTACTAAATGCAAAAAGAAGGCAATAGTTGAAACATAAATTATGTGTAATTTTATTATTCAAATTTACTGTTAAATGTGATTCGTATTCTCTTTTAGATATCATTTTAGTTTTTCTTCTTGATCTATTAATTGATTCTAAGAAAAAAATTATTAGCAAAATAAAATAAATATTTATAAATATTATAGCAAATATTTACTTGAATATGAAGGTTGTTAACATAATGCTGAATAAATTTGATAAGCTCATCAAATGTTTCATAACTATATGTATTGCATATTGAACACAAACTACCTAAATTTTCATGATAAATATATCTATTATCTTTTAATATTTATAAAAAGTTGTTCTTTTCGTTTTATTAGAATAACTTTCTTGAAATTTTTTTCATAATTCAGTTTTTGTATTTTTAAGATAATGGATTAATTTCTGTATAGCAGTATCTGTCTTATATGAGCTCATTATTACATTTGCTTTATCAGAAAAAAATTGTTCTAATTGTTCTTTTTTTTTCTATTCTAATTTATC